GTTATGTAATATTTTTGGAACGGTTTGGGAATATTTACAAGTGCTGGGTAATACTGAATAATAAGTAGTAGTAGCGAGGCTGTAACGATACTCTGTTAATTCGCAATTTAAAGAAGAAACTTTAGATGACGTTTCCATTTGTCCTGGACTATTAGCAAGACATTATTCAGGAGGAACCGAAACGTTGTCAAAAACTTTCTCCCCGTTTTGTGGATTAATAATAAATTGGGAAATATTTCATACCAAATGGTGAAAGTAGCTCAATTTGGATTTTTTTTAATTAACTTCGATTCTCATAAATTACTCTTGGATTTTTTTTTTATCAATTAAAAGCATATTTTCAACAGAATCATTGCAGCACTTTCACTCCGTGATTGTAAATTACGGTAACTAATACGGTAACTAATTAGTTCAGTTATATGATAAATACTGGAAACGGGACACCACGAGCATAGTTATGCTTATGTAACATAAAGGTATTAATACTCAACAGTCACTGAAGGTCACCTTGATAACGTGGTGTTCCTGTTACTACTACTCCATACTGTGGTACATGGACACTACTATCATATTTCCAGTCCCGTGTTGGTATTGTGTTGCAAAATGTATTTCTTCACACATGCTAATTAAATTCACAATCACATAAAAATGATCAAAATACACAGGGAAAGACTAATAATGGGATAATTATTTCAAGCCTTTTTTTGTGTTGGACTTTGTCAATTCAACATTAAGTCTTGCTTATAATTTAGAAACTATTTGTGATTTTGGGGCGAAAACCCCGGCGTATAACTGGTTAGATCCATACCATTCTAGAAAAGAAAAGATTTAAATACATGTAGATATGGCCACAAGTACGATGTTAATCACCGCTTTCTCCAGAAGGAATGCGCACTTAAACTGAGCTACAGGAGAACGTTGTTCAAGGTATACCATTAAGATAGGTACCAATGAATACTTTGTTCTTTGAGGTACAACTTTAAGATGCCCATAACAATCCTTTTCTCATAACTTTGTGTTATGGTTTCAATATGTATGTTGTGATTGGGTTCCTTGATATATCAGGCATTGAATTACCCTTTGGTTGGTTTATATTTATGGGGCTGGTTTATATTTGGGGAGGTTGGTTTACATTTGCAGTTGAAGGAAGTTGTCCTTGAGCAAGTTTGTAATTTTTTTTGACATTCACTGATAATGTGTGTGGCTTTCTCAGGACATTTCCAGCATTGTGTCCGCTAACATGGATGCTCAACAGGCTTTGTGGAGTGTTGTTGAGTTTTAAAGCAGAATTAAGAGTTTTAAAGGAGGAGGTTCTAATTCTTAGGGAGGAGAATGAGAAATTAAACTCGTTTGAATGAGCAGGATGATAAGTGTAATGAGTGCAGAATGGTTGGTAGTAACAAAGGGGATGTTGGCTGAGGGTGGGTTGGGTGTTGGCTTGGTGTGGGTGGGGTGTCGGCCGAGAATGCGTAGGGTATTGGCTTAGGGGGGGGGGGGGTTGACTGGGAGGGATGTTTGTTGGCTGGGGAGTAAGTAGTCTATTTTTACTATAGGTGGCCTGCCGTTTGTTGATATTGAGGCTGTTGTTGCGTCTTAATTAAGCAAATCCTCGTCGTATAATGATATTCCTTCTTAGAACATATACAACAATTGCCATTATTATTATTTTTACCCATTGCATCGGGGATGCTTCATTCGCAACTGGTGTACTGGAGGTGGATGTCCGTGAAACAAAACAGGTTTGTACTAGCCTGTGTACCGTTGAGGGCAAGTCATCGCTTAGACACAATCAAGTTCAGGTTGACTTTACTTCACCTAAGAGTTCATGTGAATTTTATTTGCATTTATTTATGATGATTTTACGATGACATGGAATGCTTTGCCATCACAGCAGGTGATGAAAGACCATATTTGAGTTCTAATTTTGGATTTTTGTAATTAACTCACGACTCTTAAATTACTGTAATGAAAATGTCATCTTACATTTTAACGATAGAAAAAAAAATAAGCAGTCCTGCCAGAGTTCAAATTATGTATTAGGCTTTCATTTCACTCGTGTAAGAGTAGTATCTGTTTGCTCTGAACAGTTACGTAGATGGGCAGAAATACACTAGTAATGCGTCCACTAACGCACGCCCTGTTTGGAGGACAGGTAGGCTGTAAACACTGGAGACAGTTCAGAGCTGAATGACATAAACGGGTTTAACTCTAAACAGAAATGTAATGGCAGGTGCTCTCCTGTGTTGCAATCCCGTTGGTTGCAGCACTGGCTGCTTCAACTGACATTCCTCCTGTCATTTAAACCACTGTGGTGTGAGGTTTCCATAGGTTAATGTTGATTTTCTTAGGGTGTGCTTATTCTTTTGTTAACAAACAAATATATAAATCATAGCTAGGGTTTAAAAACGGAATAAGTGCAAGATATGGCGCTAACAATATTTTTGTTTTTATGTAATTAGCGTTAAATATTATATATTTTTCCACATTGACCAAATGCACACATTAACAGAACAAGAAGGTAAATGTAGCAAATTTATCTGACACATGGTGTATACAGTTATTTTTAAACATTAAAATACTGTTAATGTACCCTTATGACCCTCATGCAGTCAATAGGTTTTAAACCTAACAGACTAATTAAAATTTTTGCGTGTTGACCTAGTCCTTCAGCGAAGCGTCTGCAGTTTCCTCGTAAGGTTTTTCTAGTAACCAGATTGGAATTTACCAAGTCATCGTGAGGGTGTCAGTTATTAATACGGTACTGGATTACCACTGCAAAGTCGTCACTGATACTTGATGAGCGTGGTTACGCTTCTCCAATATTAATTACATTGTTTTCACCACTGTTTTAATCATTTCTAATGTTTCACTATTAGAAGTATGTTTTCACGGCATCTTTTATATAAATAAATAACTATAAGCTTAGATAAAACTCGGAGTTTCACTTTGCACTCGCTATACAAAACACTGCATGATAAGACATTTTCATCAATAGATAACTGTACTATTATTATTACTACTATCAGAACTAAGCGCTAAACCCACAAGGGTCATAGATAACTGGAGCTCTGTTTAATGTGAAATTTTCTTTAATATATTCTTTTATTTTTTTAAGTTATTGTTTGTTTTTTTGGTGCTTCCGTCTTCCTGGTGGTATTTGTTTGTCACGGAAATTGAGGGAATTTATCTTGAGGCTGGCGTACTGGTCCACTCTGTGAAGAAATTAAGCATCACATTCCAATCAGGGATCAGAAAGTTACTTGTCTTTATATTAGTGTTAGGAGAGAAATTATTGTACTAAACCCATATATATGGGCTATTAAGAGCAGGCGTGATGGAGGCTTAATCCTCCATTTGGCTTCTGATCAGTCAGGTTGGTGTGTGTCTCGAATTGCCACTGTCTCTGCGTCCTCCACTCTACACCTAATAACCCACACGGATTTAGTGCTAAAACTTAATCATAACACAAATGTAAACCAACGAGTACATAAATGCACAAATGAAAATTGTGGTATTAATAATCACATATACACCGAGTAATGTGTAGAAATAGGACACTATATGTGAACCATTGAATTTTTTCCAAGGGGTGGAACCCTAGCTAATACACAGCGGTTCCCTCATCACTGAGCAGGTCTGCTGTGATCCGCGTCAACAGTCATGTTCCCCACTTGTGGGAGTTATCTGAGAATGAGGTTATGGGGAGCACCAGAATATAGTTTTATAAGTAAACTGGCGTAAAAAAGGCAATCTGCGATGTTCATTTCTTTAAAGCTAAAAAGATATTTAGCTACATTTATATAAACAACCATATACAGATATATTTAAAAAAAATCATCACACAAAAACGAAGAAACACTGCAGTAGGCCTATTGGCTTGTGCTGTGCATGTCCAGCTCTCACCCACTCATATATCCGTCCAACCTATATTTAAAGCTAACCAAAGAGACCCCTTCCCCATGACGCTACCTTAGCTCTTTTGATGATACTTCCCAATATCTTTTCTAAATCTAAATTTTTCAACTTGAATCAGTTGCTGCAAGCCCTGGCCCTTTATTCCTATTTCCATTTGTACAAATTCAGTGCCTTTAATTTATTGTAGTAAGATAGGTTTCTGAAACGTGAGATCAACTTCGTCATCCTCCTTCCTATAATAATAGTTCTTCAGCAAGCCACCTTGCAAGGCTCTGGTACCTGTGAGGACTTTTCGTCCAAGGAATTTGATCTGGCCTCCTGTTATTGGATTAAGCCTGCTGCTGGCTATTCACCCAATACTGTATGATCCCTGCGGGTTTAGTGCGCCTCCATAAATGTAATAGTAATAATCTGCAGAGTCTAATCTTGAAGCGTATTTCTTCTGCTGTCTTGAAATTAAGTGGTGCATGAGGCGAGTTAAGCAGTGTGTGTAGCAAGGTTATGACCTGGAGAGAGCGATTATAGTCAGTATTTTGGTTTGCTTCTCGTAATGTTTTATTGTTACTTGAAATAAGCTGTATAGTCCTTGTGGCTTAACGCTTCTTTTTGATTATAATAATAATAATACTTGAAATAAGCTTGGGCATTGTTATGCAATGTGAAGTTGCAGCGTATTGTATTAGAAGTTTATTACTTAAAAATTTATGGGGAATCGCTAAACTCGGTCATAGAGCACTTGGGGAATGGGGGCAATCAAGTTTGATCCAGGGAAGGGGAGGGTATTTATAATTCTTTGGAAAAAAATACCTTGTGCGTTGTACCAGAAAAAATATTTTGTACAGATATTAATGTCATATTTGTATGTGTACTTCATGATATTTAAGGGATGTACAAACCCACATGGATATGTGGGTTTTAAACCACATGGGCATGAATTTTTAAACCCACGTGTGACGTGTATTATGGAAGAAAGGCAGTTTTGATATTTGAAGAGCGTTTTGACCTAGTAGGTCACTCAGCGCTCTTGGTAATGTATTATGGAGTTAATATAGACGTAGAGCACTAACGGCAGTGTGTTGTTTCAGATGGTTGTGGTGGCGGAGTGATAGTAATGAGTGTGGCGGTGTCCGCGTCCACGGGGCTGGGGGCGTCGCGGCCGTCCCAGGAGGACCACACCGAAGTCTCTGAAGTGGACGGCTGGCGGCAGGACGTAAGGGCCAAGGTGACGGCACTAAAGTGCCACGTCATGGCCTCCAGGGGGCTCACCTCCGATGGGCACATAGTAGCGCCATACTCACCGAGGCTTCTCCTAGATGCGCCTAGTGCTCGTCTACTACTCGACGCGGCTAATCTGGACCTGGAGGCTTACGCTGAGGCACTTCAAAAGGGTGCGGGTTATCTGGCGAAGGCCGATCAGTCGCAGAATGGCTCCGGCGAGGAAGGGTCGACGGATGCCTTGTCTCTCAGCGAAGTGCAGTTTCGCCTGCAGGAAACTGGGGTCAGTAATGGCCATAACACCCCCAAAATCTCGGTCACTCCAGCCTCATCCCCCACTAAGTCTATATCGAGCAGCTCTAATAGGTCACACTCATCCTCCACCTCCTCAGCCTCTTCGTCCACATCCAACTCTTCCTCGTCCTCCTCCTCCTCTTCCACACATTCTCCAGCTAAAGTGGTTGAAATGAACGGACACTCTTTAAACGGGTCGTGTGAGGTGGTCAATGGATCACAGCCTTCGAGACTTGAAGACGTCGAAGAGCAGCTGGAGAAGGTAAAGGACGAGCTAAAACACAAAGAGGACGAAGTGGAGCGGTTATCTAAGATTAGGGACGAGGTTGAAAACGAACTGCAGGAACTGACAGCTAATCTATTTCAGGTGAGTAATACCCATAATACTTCTTGTAGTTTGGCGAATTTGGCTCTGACATATATCTTATATGGTTCATGTTTACCATCTGTTTTTTATTGTGTTGTTTACACCAGATTTGTGCTGCTATGGAATATTTGCCACCTACATTTTCAGTCGCATTGATTCGCGTTGATTTTAAGAGAACCTGACGGAATTTAGGTATCTAAGCAGCTCACCATCCGCCCATTGTGTTGGTAGAAAACGCCATGTGATCGTATATGTTATTGTGTCAGTAAGGGTTCCTATTTAATGGCCTTTCCCAGTCGAGGCATTTCAAACCTTACCAACATTGACGTCATAGGCTACTGTTTCTTCTGTAGATAAGCAGAAATTCAAATGACCTGGAGCTTCCTAGCTCTCAGCAGTCGGACTAGAGACCTAGGGTTGAGATGCATTGCTATAGACTTGCCTCCTTCCTTAAGAAACAGAGACCATTGTGGAAGCCTTGTAACTTTCTCATCTAGAACCCAATGTTTGGCCAGGATATCACCTGGAAACCCCCAGACAAATTGGCGGACTAGCCTGTCTATCATAATTCTCGAGAGGAGGATAACCCATAACATTGCCAGTGCCCCTAGGTCTACCACATATACCTTCACTCATCATGATACTTGCAGCTCTACAATCATACTTAGGCCATTCGTCTACACTTCAGATCATTGGATACCCAAAAATCGAGGCAAAATCTTTTTAAGAATTTGTAAGAACTCTATTGCTTTTTGTTTCTACACCTTGAATTCAGTCTTGTCCCGATGCCAAATCCGTCACAGAGGATCCTCGGAAGTTGTGAGCTTATCATTGCCAAGACATCTTCCTCCAGCGCCCTAATAGTTGACATGTAGTCAAGTTATCCCCCAAAGAAACGACCGTCGACACGACCAGCGTCTGCAGTGTGTTCCATTGCTGCCAGCTATCAGAACAAATCTACCTGTCAGGCTGCGGTGGTGACTTCATGTCATTTCCTTTCTGCCACCCGTTACCTCCACTTAAGTCATCTTTACCACTGCTTCCATCTAAGTATCACCGACTAGGAACTGGCAGATTTTAAGCAGCTGAGTCAGTGGGCCTACAATAGATGAAAATTTTGTGGGGTAGGGAAGCTCTGAGCATTTGTTATTTTGGTCACTCGTCATCCCTCTAGGAGTGACTACGTGACCAAGAAATTTTATTTCTGATTTCAGAAACTGACATACTGATATATTTATTTTAGGATTAGCTTGAACTAATATACTCATTGCCACTTCTAATATTTCAAGATGCAACTGCACGTCTTTTGACATGACGATCAGATCATTCAAATATGCCATCTCCTGTGATACTTCTGGACATGTTTGTCATGAGCCTAGAAAAAAATATAGGTGAAACTCATTATCCAAACACCTTGTAGGGGTCAAGGAAGCTGTTAATTAACTCGTGGTTTTCATCGTGAAGCAGGACTTGCCAAACCCCTTAAAGCAAATCTGATGCTGAGCAGACTTTACCCAATATAATTCTGTGAAAGTTATTGAGAATTGTGAATGCAAATCGATCCAAGTTTTTTTTATACCATTGATATGCCCACTGTGTATGGTACCTGTAGTGTGTCTCCTCACAGACTGTATCCAGTGTCTCCTGCCAAGCTACACCCAGTATCCAGTTTTCTTTCTTCCATATTCTCATTCATTTGCACTTAGCCAGAAATGAAGTCTATTGGTCACTTGTTTCATGTAACTCCAATCTCTTCGAAGCCTTGCAGAACTTCTCAGTTATTCTCATTATTTCCACATCGTTAGCATGTTATATAAACAGAACTAAATTTTCTATAACAGGCCATTTAAGTATATCAAGGAACAGCTTGGGTTCAGGTACTGAATTTGTGGGTTCTTCACTCGGCATTCTGGTTCATTTTTCTATTTCCTTACTAACATTTTCTTTTTAGGTATCCTGCGTCCTTCTAGGAAATGTGTAGTTACCTGATTGAGTGAATGCGGATTTTGAACCTCAGCTTCGAGTCTCAGCTTTGAACCTCAGCTTTGGGCTCTCTTGGTTTCCTGTTGATTCTTTACTTAACTAGTTGTCTTAGTTGTGCTTGCAGGGATCGAGTCCTTTGTGTGAGAGGGGGGGGGGTGTCTGCGTCTGGGGGAGGGAAAGTGAGAATGGGAGGGAGAGGGAGCATGGGAGGGAGAGGGAGCATGGGAGGGAGAGTGAGCATGGGAGGGAGAGGGAGCATGGGAGAGGAGAGAGCATGGGAGGGAGAGGGAGCATGGGAGGGAGAGAGAGCATGGAAGGGAGAGGGAGAATGGGAGAGAGAGAGAGGAAGGGGAGGGGGGCGACGGGTAAAAGAAGTGGGTCAGGGAGAAGGACAGAGCGCCCTTTATTCCAGCTTGGTGTAGGTTTAGCTAAGTATAGTGTGACTTCAAGGTCTCATGGTGAAGACTTGTGATTTGTGGGATTTCCTTCTTATTTGTGGGAGTTTCTTTTGGTTTTTAAGAGTGCCTTTCTTGATTTGTGGAGTTCTCCCTCTTATTTGTGGGAGTTCTCTTTGATTTATGTTGGGAAATAATGGACTTTTAAAATATTTGCAAGGCGAAGAAAGAGCCGTGATATTTCATTAATAATTTATTTTCCTTAGTGTTGATACTAATTATCAGTGATTTAGATAGCCAGATAAGTAATGTAACTAAATAATTATCTGCGCTGTGCATTTTTTGTTTGATGGTGTTTAGAGTATTAAGTTAATAATAACTAACGTGTTCTCGGAACATTTTCTTCCCACCCATCATTCCTCTTCCCCCCAAAAAGTGGTGATTTATAGTTATGGCAATTTTTTATATGCCTATTTATATCCCCCTCCCCCCAAAAAAGTCTTGGAAAATCATCCTGCGCCTTATACGCGCGAGGTCAGGTTACGCTTTAGCAGTTGTTTACTAAGGTTACGTTACAACTGCTTGGAAACCTCGTCTTCTTATATACTCGTGCGCCTTATGTGCCGGAAAATACGGTAACTTTATTTGTAGTCACTTCCGGAGGTCATCTCCCCCGCTGTCCGGTTCTAGACTAGGCTCTCTGGTTGCTGGCTTGATTGATCAGGCTTTGAGTGCCCGACGCCTGGAGCCAAACGTATACACCACAGGCCGGCTTATCAGGAAGTGATTTAAGGAACCTGTTGAGTTCCCTATTGAAGATAGCCAGGAGTTTGTTGGTAATCCCCCATATGTATGGAGGGAGAGTGTTGAAAAGTCCTGGTCCTTTTACGCTTATTAAAATTTATGTAATATATAATCTGCCTAAGCCGTTGAAGGATTTGTATAACTATATTTCACTATTTTTCTAGGGTTGTCTAGAGGTGCCTGGCGAATGGCCGGGCTCCGAGAGTAGAAAGGCTCGCGGAACTCATCAAAGTTATAGTATATATAGTATTGAGTGAAGTACTTTCCTTTCTGTTAGGACAGGTAAGATTCGTCACAAAATAGGAGAAATGTATCCAGACTCGGGTCTTAGTATTCATATGATTATCCACCACTGGAACTTTTAGCCATATGAGAGGCCTTCCGCTGGCTTACCTCTCCAGCTCTTCAAAAATTAAAGATGACATCATTTGATGTTACTATACTATCAAGTAATAAAATAGATTAATGATATAGGTAGTTTCTGTTTAAATATGTTTATTGATGTTGTTATTAATTGGACATTTGGTGCAGTTAATTACTCGAGAACTTGTAAATAAAACTTGTTTAATATAACGATTTATTACCATTTTACTTAAAAAAAATTGCATTCCTTGCTTCATTTGCACTCTCAGTCTTGGCAGTTGTAAATAGCGGAATTTGTATATTGTCATCATTAGATACACCACATTGTGCAGATACCTCTCACCAAACACTTCAGTTCTGTACCTCCAACGCTCTTCAGGATGGTGGTTGCTGTATAGCCCTTGTGGTTTAGCGCTTCTTTTTTATTATAATATATAATTCAGGATGGTGGGGCTGACTCTCATGCCAGTGAAGGGCTCTTGTTCTAAAAGAGTTGGAACTGGCCCTTAGGTGTTTAGCGTTTTCCCTGGAACATATTTCAAGCAGGACTGGGTTTCTAACACATTTTGCATAGCAGTATCAGACATTAGCATATCAGTTTTTCCAGGATGTCAGCCAGCCACAGGTCAACTGGCACCCAGGTACCTGTTATTACTGCGTCCAGGTGTCAGGAAATAGGGTAGCGGCGCTACCAGGTTTACCAGTCAAGTAGTAGCCCATAACTTACACTATGATAGGCATCTGTCGGAGTCCTGTAATGTAGATTATGATTTGCAGTGGCAACATTCAGACTCCTGATTTCAGCACCTGTTAGCCAGCGGTTGTGCTGCGATGGAAAACGTCATAGGGTATTAGGCTACCCTATTTTCTCATGTTCTAAGCTTAAACGCCGTTTTGCCCAGCCTCCCGGAGTGTCGGTCTGTATGACAGAAAAAAAAGCCCTTCAGGGTTTTGAAACAAAAAATTAAGTTGGCGAGGAAGGGGAAGGCCGGGTCGAGGCGTCTATGAACTTTCACGTTGTCATAACATGGAGATCAGTGACGCGCAACCTCAATAAAAATATTGACGTAAACTGCCAGAGTATGGGTTTTAATTTTTGAAGGGTTACCAACAGCTGTTGTATAGACAAACACTAAGATATGTTAAAAAAAAAACCTCGTCCTACAAAAATTTACCACTTCAAGGTCCCAAAATCGAAAAAGTTTTAAATTAAATTATCCCAGTGTTTTCTTACTTTCTTTTTTTTTTTTTTGCAGGGGCCCCTTTGGGTTTCACTTTAAAGTTTTGTTTGCCCCTTAGGAAAGGTACCTTTTGTTTTGGGTTTAAGGGCTTTTTTTTGCCCCTTTAGGAAAGGTACCCTTTTTGTTGGTTAAAAGGGTTTTGTTTGCCCCTTTAGGAAAGGGACTTGTTGTTGGTTAAGGGGGTTTTTTTTGCCTTCAGGAAAGATCCCTTTTT